GAATATCGACTTTGAGGTCTCATTAGGTGGTCTCTTTATTTATGCGAAGAAAGGGTTAAGTCTATGCTTGTTTTTTCTTGTAATACGCTTACCTTTGGTTCATTTGGCGGGTGGCACTTTTCAATATTACGTGCTTCTGACTCAATATGACCTGTAATTGGATTGACGTTGATGAACCACTCTCGTCACATTGTAGGTATGCATGTTCCTCTCAATTTGCATGCTGTTGACAGAGTTGTTGGACACCATTTGACCTCTTGATTTGGCATACCATTCCAATGATTGCAGTCACATTGATTAGAGGGCTCTGCGAAATCTGGTTTTTGCTGAATTTTTGTCGGTTTGAATTCCCAATGAAGGTGTGGGATGCTTTTGAGTATATGCTTTTGCTGATGGAGGGACAGTGATATTCCCATTCCCTACATGTCGTCTGATTGTTGATTGTCGGCACAAACAATCGCGTCGCAAACAGTCCAATAAGTGTGAGAGTCTTTGACTAGGGAAGCGCGCAAATACGCCGTGTGGGGTATGAATGGGTTAATTTAGCCCATCCACATGTCACTCAATTATACATTGAAGCTTCTTCGTCGACCCCCCCATCCAACCACGAAAGCTTTCACTGTGTCTGGCGATGATTGTGCCTCCATGTTATGTCTGGTGTGTGTATTTTGCATTACACAAGGCAGCTTCTCAATTAGTGTCTCACTGGTTGCGGTAATTAACTTTGGCGAGAGAGCCACATATGTAGATAGATGCGGAGGAAATGTACACCGGGATGTGTTGTTCAACACGATATATCGTTATCTACTCAACTTTTGCACTCATGCATTCACAGAATTTCACCTCTATGTCGGTTGTATCTCATGCTTTTTTCTCGCGCAGGGCGTTGCTGTATAGAAATTGGTGCTATATGTATGCTTCTGGATTTCCTCTGTTGTGTCTTCCCTACCAGATAAATACTAGTAGTGGGAAAAGTACACACAACATGATGATGTGTGGTTCCCGGTGAGGGTGGAAAGTTTCCGCAAAACAATTCGGCATTTTGGAAAAGTTACACTCTCATTTCAACAGCAATTGTGAATTTGCATTGGTAGTGTTTCATTAATTCATTGATTGAAATATTTCACCGAAATTTGAAATATGCCGAGTGTAAAGCAGTTGAAAGCGCGAAAAAGCAACATTGGTTGCGGAAAAGTTTCACGTTGGTTCGCTTTATTTAGGATGGGATATATCATCACCTTTTGTGATGTTCATCTCCACAAAATCGCACTCAACCTTTAGTCGTTCGGTTGGCATGAATTTGAGATGGTTACTGAGGGAGGAAAACACCAAATCCATCATCATGAATTTACACTCTTGTGCAAATTGACACGACTTTTGACTTTTTCCTGGCACACCGAGAGTGAGATTGTGGTGTGACATGAGTTTCCTAATATTGCTTCGATGCTGGGAGACACTTTTTAATCCATCAATGTTTAACATTTCTGTCTAGTGGGTTGAGATTGTTTTTCGCTTCGTTATAAATTAAGAGTGTCCATTCCGGGAGGGTTGGATCAAAGAACTGATTGGAACAATTGATATGTGACAAAATGTTGATTGGATGACACGCCAAAATCGAGTGAGTACTTGGAAGTAATAGGATTCCCATCGAATGCTTGATGGGCTTTTAATCAGAAGGTGTTGCAAATTAAATTTTCGCAAATTTCATTGGTGTGTGAATTCTTTGTGTGAAAATTGTCTCATTATGACAACATCACCTGGAATTGGTATGCTTGAAGGATTACAATTAAATTAGTGATGTACAATCTTATTAAAAAGAGGGACTTGTGGAAGGTGTTTGAGGGACAAATTACTCTAATTAAATTCCACAGAGTTACCTTCTTCATTTCTCTACACTCCCTTTTCATCCACTAATTTTGTCCCCATAAAATGCACCTTTCTCTCCCACAACGAATCTTTCACCCTTCCTGTGGTTGGGGTTTTTGTATTAATTTATAAAAGCTCATTGAGATTTCGACATAATATAAAATGGGTGGAGGTGGGAATGGAGGGGTCGAAAAGTGGGAGTGTGTTAGCTTTTCCATATATGGTGAAAAGATTAACAAAAGAGATACCAAATGTCCTCTCTCAGTGCTCTGTCACTCCAAATTGGGCGAATAGAGTGGGATTTGGGGTAAATTTTCCGTTTTAGGGTGAAATTCTCGTGAGTCTCTGGACCTAGAGGAGAGATATGTGTGACAAGGTGGATGAACATTGGATTTACAGTTGCGATAATAAAATTAGGGCTACAAATCATGCAAGTTTCCACTGGGCATATCTCAGACCACTGAAATTCATGGAAAATAGTGGCTTGATTTTTTTTTATAATGATTATTTGGAAATGTTATTATCTATTGCACAATGATTCTATTATTTTCCGGGCAACTGTGCGATTGTTCGAGAGCACACGGCAGAATGGGGCTGGCAGGAAAGTAGGGGAGTCAAGTGTAAAATGTGCGGGATTTCTACCATTGAAGTATCCCCGAGAATATTCCTAATCCAATTCTCTTCGCTTGACGAATTTCACTGCTTGTCTCCTCTCTTTTTCTCACCCATTCACCGGCTTCATCTTCCATATGTTTTATTATACAATATGTTGAATGCTGCAAATATTCCAACTCGCTCCAAATTCACTGCATGATGAGAGAGAGAGAGAGAGAGAGAGAGAGAGAGAAAGTGAGAGAGTTCGTTTGTGTAATTTCGGACAAGACCGTGATGGGGGTTTCATTGGGTTATCAAACACCCTCACTTTAACATTATATGACACACTCCTCATTCGACGAGGACATTATATTTTCTATATGTAGATCAAGTTTATTGCATATGTATGTGGAAGGTAATTTGGTAAAAAGGGAGTTGCAAATTAGTTTGTTACGCTCTATACGTGAAATATTAATTGAATTTTTAGGTATTTGATTAGGGAATGTGAGATAATTAGGAGAAAAAATATGAAGTAATTTGATTATAGATATAAGTTGAAATAATACTTTCAGTTTGCATTGTAGATCTAGGCAGAATGAGTTCTGGTGCATGTGAAATGTGAAAGAAGGAATCAGGCTGATTTTTTATGGGACTGTTTCCGCTTTTCCCCGCTCTAACGTCACATTTCATCAAATTTCGCGCATCGTTGGTACTTTTGTTCTGTATTAGATTTATACCCATCATCGCCTGAGGGTTTGCAAAGAGGGTTGCGCTACTCGGGCTAAATCCACACTCATATTCCCATATGTACAGGGAGATTTGTAGAGTTTGTTGTGCAGTATTTACCCTCATGGGGAAGACTCTTTGACCATTTCAAGGGTTCTCATCTCCGCAGAAAATCTCTCTGAGCTTCTCAAATATTCTCCTTTTCAATCGCTTGATCTTCTCATATAGATTTATGCATGAATGGACAGAAACGAGTAAAATTTTGAGGGGATCTGATGAAAAATTCTTGATTTATTTCCTATCATTTGTGATGTCCAGAGAGTGAGAGAGACAGAAGGATGTTTCAGGAAGCAGCTAGATTGCAGCTCAATGCAAGGATATTTGGTAACATCCTTTGTGTAAAAAAAAATAGCAAAAACTTCGTTTAAGAGTTACTGAAATACTTAATTTTGCAATACTTCTAGTATTTGATTTGGTGTATTTATTTGGTAAATTTGAGATATTGGGCCAAAATAAGGGCACCGGGGATTGAGTTACTCGTTGATGCATCGAGATGCGTTTGATTGAACTTGCCCAATGAAAGCCCCAATATTTACCCTGTGTGGAGAGCATTCATCGCATGCTGGATGGCTGTATAATGCAATATAAACTTTTGCTATTGTATTTTGCATATACATTTTTTTCTACTGACGCTTTGCATTCCTCTCATTTGTCGAGGTCTGAAACTGTGTGGGATGTATCTACTTTTTTCCGGCAATGCGTAGGAGATGCGATGGTGGTGCATTTAGTTGGTGGAAAATGAAAATGAATATAACCAACAAACGAATTCAACAACGGGGCATATTGGTGAAATTCAATGGAGTAGTTTTTGGCGGCATTGGTGGGGGGTGGGTGGGCGGCAAATAGGTAGGCTGGGAAACACAATTCCGATAAAAAATGCAGAGTGAAAAAATACACCGTGCAATATACATGGTCATATATTCGTTGATTCTTCATTTTATGGCTCACAATACACATGAACGTGCAATGGTGCAGTTTTTTCCCGGGAATGGTTTTTGGGAACGGGTGGTGAAAATATATATACTAAATGTGTGCCTCTTGCTATCGGGTTCAAACCAATTCAACCACCAATGTGCATTGAATTCGCGTTTTTTTTTGACGATCACGGGGGTCAGAGTTTGAAATCGACCGACGACTATAATAATTTTTTTCGGTGCCATGCAGTATCGACGCTAGGAACGCCAGCATTGTGACCCTGCCCTCTGCAGCCCCAAAGACTCCTCTCCCCATGCCATTGTGGCCGTCACACGCAAATTTAAATTTTGCGCCCACAAAGTTGAACGAATGCAGTTTTTCCACCGTGCCGTCACCACATGGAAAATGGGCAATTTTTTCAAGTATCCCACATGCGAAATATGGCGAGAGAAACTGCATGGAGTGAGAGAGACAAACAGCGAAAATATATTTGGCGCGAATTGGCATTGGCGTGGGCTTGCATAGTGAAGAGGGTGAGGATGTGGCTGGCGTTGGGATTTGTCAGGGGGCTGCCGGGAAATGGTTTTGACTAAAACCACCGAAAAATATAGTTCTTATGGCGTATATATTGGGTCGATTTGTCGCGGTTTGAAGTGGTGCCAAGAGTTCAACACCATAAGCGATAATTATTGATTTGCTGTGATTTTTGCATTGTAGGGAATTCTAAAGTGATTTACACAGTATAGTCAAGGTTGTTCAAGAAATTACCGGATCGAATGAGTGGAAGGAAGGAAAAAGAGTGAATTATAAAATAGAATATAATTTATTATGCTTTGTTTTTCTGATTTATGGTTTTCATCATTCCTTTCTATATAACATTTTCTTAGATATAAATTTATTTACAATATACATTTTTTTTTTACTAATTCCACTTTACTCAATAACCCTCTTGAAATTCTCACTGTGCCAGTTTTGATGCCATTAGAATGGTCTCCAAGTTGGTAAGATTCTGAGTGTCTGTCCTTAATGTTACTATCACGATAGAGCAAGGAATTGCTCGGGCCTCAATAGGGTCGCCAGACGGTTATTTGTGCTGGAATTGTGGCTGATTTGATTTTAGTGGTGTCTGGCGAGGCGGATCGAGGTCCGGCTACTGCGGGGGCGATCTCATGCAGAATCTGTCTTCGACTGGACACAGCCTTCAGCTCGCACTTGGACCTCCCAGACGGTGGAGTGGTCGGACTGGGTCGTGGTGGAGATGAATCTCGGGTGTTGGCGTCTGAGACATTCTCTTGTTTCGGCTTCAGAATGGGCACAAAGGCAGACTTGACCACGTCAATGGGCTCGTCGTCTGAATCCTCGGAGGACTGGTCGTGGTTGGAGTTGAGGTCCAGAGACGAGTTGACTTTGGCTGTGGCGCCCTGGGACGACGGAGGACTCGAAGAGGAGGGCCGCGATGAGGCTGGCGAGAGTCTCACGTGCTCCCCAGTAGGTACAGATGCAGGAGTGGCCATGGGATTGCCGGCTTGGAGGGTGCGCTGGTGGGCTATTCGCAGGGTGGCGAAGTCATAGGGGAGGAATGGGTTCTTGGGCAGCAGTTCCGGGGCCATTGGGAAGGGAAACTGGGGTAAGTAGGCAGCTGTCGGTGGTGGCAGAAGTCCATTGCCACTTGGCGGTGTCGGCGGCAAGGCGGGAGGTTGCGAATTGCCGGCCGATGTGTTGAGTGGCAAAAATTCCGATCCAACGGTCGTGGGCGGTAGGACTGTCGACGCATTAGGTGGTAGCGTTGGGGATCCTGTGGGGTGAAGGTAAAAAAAAATGTTGGAATGAGGAAAGGAATACTACATATTTTTCACGGTGACATCATCAAAAGGAATTCCAAATGATGGTTATTCCTGTGACATATCACACAAAAATCCTCACGCTGGTGATTTCATTCCGACCGACAGTCATACATTTGTTGGGATGGCGGAAAACCACCCTCCCCTTTACCGTTATCCTCCAACAGAATTCGCAAGGCGCATTGGGAGTGTTTCAGCTGCGAAGAGTGGTGAGAGCTAATATGATTTTAGGCACTCTGAATCCTCCCTGAATGTGTTGATCCTCTCCAGGAGGAAAAAAGTTGTGAGTGAGGAAAAAATACGAGATGCGAATACGAAAATAATTCCAAATGAGATAGAATTATTCAGATTGGGATGATAGATACCAAAGACAAAAGACAACCCTCCGACGCCTGCAAGAGGTCGAAAATATTTTGGGGGTGTGCAAAAATTGAGTATACGACGATGGAGAGACGTGACTCTTGGCATCCCATGTGTGACTCGGTGGCTGAGAAGATGTGAGAATTTCGGGGTGAATGTGCCATATGTGCGTGAATAGGGGGCTTTTATCGCAGTTGTGTGTCTCTTTCCCGGTTAGGATCTCCGAAGGCTTCCACATCCTCTCATCGGATTAGTCATAAAGAATGATATCCTATCAGAGATAGGGAAAGAGAGAAGGAACTTGATTTGGCTTCAAGCTCAATCCTATTGAGTATCAATCACTACCGCACAGTGGTTTTTTACTCTGCATCTTTGGCACTACATATTTTCAACGGTTATATAATATATTTTGAGTTCTCGATCCATGAATTATCCTAGCGGGTGTCCTCGTTTATATATCACACCACACTCAAATGTATGTGCGTTTTGGGGTTTTTTGGGCCAACATCCGCGTGACTAGGAGTGTAATTGATAGGTGTGTGTGGGTCTGAGGGTGGAAATAAAAAATATCGCTGTGGGGTCAGCATTAAGCCACACACGCATTCACAGAACGTCAGTAAATCCGTGGCTGTGGAAAGGGGTTAAATCACACAATCCTGACAATTTTGGCCTCTAAACTGAGGCTAAAACTCCGTTGGATTGATGTTGTTGCGAGGGTGATTTTTGTCTCTCGACAAAAGAGAACAAATAATGCGTCACATCGGGAAAATTAAGCACAGGGCTCCAATTTGGGTACAAGTATTTTTTTTTGTATATGCATTGAACGAGTCAAATTGGTGGGGTGACAATGAAGAATGATGATTTTTTCTCAAAGAGTTACGCTTTTTGATTTCGCCTCCACTTTGATTTATTTATTTATTCATTTAGCGCGCAATGAATATTTGAGAGAAAAAGTTGGGTATGAAATGAAATTGAGTCTTTTTCACACATATGGAGGGGGAAATGGTGTGCAATGTGTGCATATATTATTGATTAACTATGTTTTAAAGCTCCCAACCACGCCGAAACACCCACCAATACACATTAATAATGGGGTGCAGGGCGGAGAGGAGAACACATCCACTATCGTCAAATCGACTGCACACAAATTTGGATTAAAATTTAAATGATTGAACGGATATATTGGTGAAATCCTTTTTTAATGCATAATTATTGACGGCGAGTTTTCGAATTAATTAATACTGGGCTGTTGGGTGGGGATGAGTATCCAGAACAGTAATCTATGCGCTGCATATTCACTCTCACTTCAAATACAGACAGAAACTCATATCATTCACTATTTCGGTAATTATCAGTGCAGTATATTTTACCTTTGGCTACGAGGGCTGAATGATGAGTCTGGTGGCGAAAATAATCGGGCCATGCGTACATATAGGCAGCATCCAGCCAGCCTGGATTGAGAATGAATGGATTCAAAACACCAGGATGACCATATCCATAGCCTAGAATAAATAATAAACCAACGATTAATGTTTGAGTGAGGAAAGACAAAATGTTTACAGTGAGCAATGTTATTAATTCGGAAATTAATATAAATATCGGATGAGTAAAGACGTCGACAAATAATGTATGTTCTTTCATGTGGTACACCAGAATTTAGGATTGTGCGTATATTGAAAATTTCAGGATATTTTGGAGAAGAGTCACAGAGTCTCATCATAAATAGTCAGAGGGAAAATTACGCGCTGTAAATATTTCATGAAATTTTCCAAGTTCCATGTGCGAGATAAGAAAGAGGAATCTTCTAACGAATGCGGCAACAATGATGGCTTTACAAATAAACATTCGTGGAAAATTATTAGAAAACTGTGTGGTGAAGATAAAAAGACGCTAGAGGGAGGATCTCTTCTTTATAGATTTGCCGCTTTTCCCAACTACACAGACTTAATTATTCCCATTTTATTTTATAATATAAACACGCATAAATGATATAATAATTCGTTTGTTCCCAACTCTTTAGTATTTGGGGGAAGCATCAAAGGCTGAATTTTAGTGGTGTGGCCTATGAGGAATATATTGTGAAATTCTGTGTCAATTAACAAAGACTGTAATTATGATGGAAGTCGGGTGAATGTTATAAGACCATATTGGGTTGAAGTTTGAATGTAAACACCATTAAATGATGGGAAGTAATCCAATGCAATGTTTCACACAGCATCTATATCTGAGGATCGTCACTTCTTTTTGGGGCTCTGCCCTTTTCCCGCACCATTTAATTGATGGATTGCGCATTTCGGCGCAGTTTGAAGATGCACGGTTGATGTTGAAAGACGCGCCAGGCGGCAGACGGCGACGGCGAGTGGGCTTTTGGGTGAGGGAGAGAATGGAGAAAGACTCCGTGAGGTGAAAATATACACACTGTTTTGGATTTCTTACGGCCAGTGTGGGGGAGACATGCCAAGATGCCGTAAAAGTGTTAAACGGCGGCAAATGATCCCATGGAATAACAAACAACATTGAAATGCAATGCAATTAAATTTAACTGCTCTCGAGGGTAAATATTGTGGGCAATTGGGCGACAGTGAAGAAACTTCTTTTCACTTTTTACCGGGGAAAGCGTGGAAATTCAAAGTGTTATGGGGAGAGAAATATTTGAGGGAGAACTTCAGTGTTTGATATGCAGCTTCCAATTTGGCGCCACTAGACATTTTAACGATTACGATCAGTAGGTGATCTCAGCATTAAATAAAGTTCTCCCCCTGAAAAAGGCTTGTTTGAATCTCGAGAAGATTCCGATGATATTGTCAAGAAAACAGTGTGTTTCACATTGTTTCGAACAGTTTCTTTCAATTGTGGCAAATTCGGGATATCTAAGGTGTATCTTTAACATGATCCCTTTTGTGTGGGCGAGGATTTTGGGTTTTATGAATCTATTGAGGCGAGAGATTGGATTAGAGAACTTACTTTGCTTAGACCGAGGTTCTCGTGGTCCGTCGACAGTGACTTTGATGGCCTTAGTGTAGGTAGCAATTTGCAATGGGTAAGAACTGATGGTGATAGTGATTGAGAATGATTTTCCGCGACCGCTGCGTCCGACAAAGCGCAAATCATTGAACTTCGCCACTTGATTCTTCATGACTGCCGTGTGATTTCGCAATTCGGCAAAGTAATTCTCATCATTGCCCGCCTTAATGGTCACTATTGTGCCATCTTGGACATCATCGAGGGCAACGACTTTGAATGCACACGGCAGGCTCTTATTGCTGCGCCAGTGCGTTGGAAGGGCAGAACATAGAACAGCTGGTGATCCAGTTTGGACTAATTCACCATGATACTCCTGCAGCACTTCGTGTACATTGGAGAACATATCATTCACTGTTGCAGGCATTGGTGGACTCTGGCACTGATTGTTGGGTAGATGCATTGATTATAAATCACACAAATTTACACGTTATCCGTTATCCAGTGTTTGTAAAGTTGTTCCGTGTCTCTTTTGTCAATTGTCCTTGTAACTGACTCTCGTCACTTAAATTTCCGATTCATTCCAGGATGCGTGATTTCTTCAAAGTTCACTGAATCCTTAAAATTAATCTAACTCTGTGTTTACCAAATATTTACATAAGCACAGATATTGCGTCTATTTGGTTCTTGCGCGTCAGAACTTCTTCGTGTGCCTTAGCTGAAAATCAGCCGAAAATAAAAGAAAAGTTTGCTGATGTTGGGAAAAAATGCACTCTTCACGGCTTCTCACAGAGAACACTTTACTTCATGACGCGCGCGCGGTCTGCTGCTAACCGAGTCTGAGATCGAACTGGATGACTGCTTTTGATCTGACAGAACTTTTTCTCTCTGGTCAATTTATTATTTTGTACGACGATACTCTCAATTCTCCACCCCTCCCTCGTGAGTGTGTGTGCCTTTTTTCCACTCTGCCATCTCTGTCGCACTCGTGATATTTTTTCCGGACGTCTCGGCACGACAAGTCGTGTGTAAAACCGTGGTTGCGGAGAGAGGGAAAGAGGCTCAATTTCTCCAACAGTCTGTTAGGAATTGGGAATGTTCACTCATTGGGAAATGTATGGGAGCACACCGAAAAGTGTGGTGTTTGTATATTACAATCTTCGCCACACTACCTCACTTTTGAGGCGTCAATCGAATTTTTACCCCCACTTAGGCTCACAGTCATGCTGTATGAGGGTGAAATGCTTTTCCCTCGACATGTGTGTGTGTCACTCTCGGCAAAAAATCACCCACAATTTGCAGGGCAGACAATTGCTCAAAATGCACACGATTGTGTGTGAATTGGTGTGTCAGTTTTCGAAAAAACAACCCTCAAATTCTTTCAGTGTGTTGTTCACAAAACCATGCCAGAGAGAGCGAAGAGCACAATGGTATTTGCTGTGAGTGCAAAAAGGACACACTTCAGGATTTTTTCCCCGATTTCCGTTGCTAGTGTGTGTCTCCAAAGGGGTTGTTTTTAAAAATGTGGCGTAAAAATTCACGCTAGACAGAGATAGTTATATTGTCTGCTGATACAATTGTACTATTTTGCCACAGTTTATGTCGAGAGTGGGGAGAGAAACTTTTCAAACCAACACAGTCGCGGTGTGCACTTTTTCAGCCTGCACTTCTTTGACGATGGCGGATTTTTGTGAGAAGTGCAAGGGAGACCACTGGATGCAATCTGGGAAAAAATATCCCACTCATTCCGCTGGGTGAATTGAAATGGTTTGTGGGAAATCGTTTTGGGGTTGGAAAAGTGCATGACAGGATTAAAAAATATGGTTATTTCCACAACTGCATTGTGGGGTTGCTGAGGGAAAATGTTGCAATTTGATATTGAGCATTTTCTTTTTATTTGCATGCTTGTTAGTCCGGAGTCGTTGAAATATGACTTGTTTTCTCGGAAAATGTTTCAATTGGCAGCGACTCTCCTTCCGTTTTGCGGGAAGTGAAAGTGGAAAAGTTTCGATGAATCATGCCCATGAGTGTGGAAATATTTCCACGTGCTGTGGCCACAGAGAGACTGTAGCGAGAGATGAGATTTTCCAGCCACATTGTATGGCAAAATGTGATAAAATGAGAGAGCGAGAGTGTTTCTTCTCTCTACAAAAATCATATGTATCTCAGCACAGTGGGTATAAAAGTGTATGTGGTGCTGAAGAGGCGGTTACCGTGCCAAGCTATTTCACCGCCCACCGCACGTTTTCGTACACTGGCAAGCGAGAGTCCCCAGCTGAGAGCTGATGTGAAAGAGTGTCGCTTTGGCAGCGACGCCGACGTCTCAGGCATGCTAGGGCAATCCACAAAAAGCCCACGTTGTGGTGCTACACAACGTGGCCTTTTGCACTTCCTTCCTCCACTCTTGCGCTCACAAATCTTCTCCACATGCGCTCCCTGGCCATCATCTTGTCTCTTTTCGCCACCCTGAATGGCGTAATTGCCGACGCGACGCTCGAGAGCGAGTGAGAGAGTCGCTTTTTCCGCTGTGCCTGGAAAAGTGGGAAAAGTTTTCAAGAGTTTTCCCACTCCGCAAACACAACACAAAAACCTCTTTGCGTTTTGGTTTGCCGCGCATCGGATCCTTTTTCTGGCCACCACTACAAGTCGACGTGGTTTCAATGGGACCCCTCCTCGCCACCCCCACGCCGCCTGCCACCCACCCATGAGCCCCGTCAATGCTTTCAGGGACATTTTAGCGCTGCCTGTGTTGGTTGCTGTAGCACTTCAAGAGCGACAGATTGTCAGTTGATCGAGAGACTCCGAGGAGAAGAAACATGTCACAATGTTGGAATATTTTTGGAATTTAGGGTCTTTTATGAGTAGTATTTTTAAAACTTAACAATCAATAGTTCATGAGCCCAACGCCGAATTTTATTTCTCATTTCTAAATGCAATTTTAATTATTAAAAATACTGATGGTAAATGTCAATAATTTGATGCGATTGCGAACAAAATATTGTGATTTCTTCAAATCGAGATTATCAAGAATTTATCCCTGGATTTTCTTTTGAGGTCAATGCTTTCCGAAAGTTTGTCTTGAGCATACCAAAGAGTCACTGCTTGCACCCTTCGGATGAAGAAGAAAAGGTCATAAAGTTTTGCTACTCGTTGGTTGTAAAAATTATGTCGATGGCAAGACAAGTAAGAAGATATTTGCTATGTAAAATCTCCCGTCTTGCCTCTCTTCTAATATTTACCAATTTTTCGGTCAAAACTTTACACAATAGTGTGGCGGAGGGTTTCAAAGAGGAATTTTCGGGTGAGGTTTTACCATCAGGGTGAATATTGTCTTGCTATAAAATGTGTTGCTATATTTATTTTTCTTTCTACTTTTGGGTTGACCATAATGCAATATTTTCACCATTGTTGAGCGGGGGATCTTTTTGGTAAATTTTATTGCGATCCTTTTAACGGTAGGTTTGTGGTTGAGAATTTCTCTAATTCCCAGAATAATTCTCTTCTTGAAATATGGACGTGTTTCTGGCCTGAAATTGCCACTGGCTAAATTTAGAATTTTTTTCCATAGTCATTGGAGTGATATTTTGTCAGTGTGGAGAAATTATTTAAAATAACCGAGTGACTAAAATTGAGCTATTGCATATTCATGAGGGTTTTATTTTCGACGCGCTCCATTGTAATTTATTGACAAAAATTAGAGTTTTATTATTTGAAAATGCTTTTTGGCTTTTAGGGGGCGAAAAACGTTTTCGGCGTTTTCATTCCCCAAAATGATATTTCTTGTCAGAGGGCGAAGTGTAATAATAGGCATTTTTTCTGCTGTGTGTCGAAAGTCCTGGGATTTTTTATATGCAGCCGGTGGCACGAGAGACAGAGATAAAGCATTAATGGCATCACGCCTTGTATCAGATTGTCCAAATGAGACATCGTTATCGCCACGTGTGCGACGGCAGGAGAGAAAGGAAATCTCATGGATGCCTCATAAATCAATGGCGTTGAGTCCAATGGGAGAGTTTGCACTTGTGGAAGGATTTGCATATGGATTTTCCTCTGTAATTAAATATTTGACGACTTAATTCACGTCAGTTTCCCCTCTGACTCGATCACTCCTGGCAGAATTCCACTGTAATGGCTTTCTTTTCGGTTGACCTCAATTTATATCGATGGTAGACCATTAGATGGTATTTTGGGTGTATTTAAGCGTATCCAATAAATTATAGAATTCTGTGTGAATTCGAAAAGTTGGTATGAAGTCGTTTAAATTGAACATTTGTCATGTGGTAATTTTAAGACAATTTCTTCTTCACCGAATGTTTTAAAAACAATTTATCATATCTTTATGATATCCCCCGGCGTAAATATTTCACTCAATTTACGTTTTCTTTTTGTCGAATGATATACGATGTTTACGGAATGAGCAACCAGAAAATTCACAACATGCGATTTTGTGAGACAGTCTGAATTTTTGCTGGCTTTGCGTAGGTTCTTGGCGGACAGAACATTGACTATATGGCGGGAAAATACCGCAGATTGGCCAGAAACCATCTTCTTTTGGTGTTGGAAAAATTAACACATCACAATATTTACATGATGGTATTTTCGCATGGGGCGATGGAAAATCTGGGGCAGATGCTGTGCATAGATGTCGATAAAAGAGAAAGTGCACAGAGTGTGTAACAGGGTGAGTGCAGCGCGTGGTATATCGTGGATTCCGGTATTGAATTTATGAAAATGATACCCATCTCTGAACCAGTAATTTGCGGAATTTCACTGGCAAAATACATATTTCCTGTTAGGGCGAGCACAACGCCATGAGGATGGAGTGGTGATATTAAACGCATAGCGCACTCGGTGCGAAAGGGAGAATGCATTTTGGGGAGGGTGCGTTTCGTTGGAGACTATCACAGTCGACTGAGTGTGATGTTTCTCACATGGTTGTGATGTTAATGATGGTATTTGGGGAATTTACTCTGCGAATTGCAATGCCACGCATTTGAGCCGCCTCTCGTCTATGGCTTTTTGGATGTGGCGAGGAAAAGAAGATTGGGGCGCGTGTGCGATGTGAAATTCAGGCATGTGTGAGGAGATTGTGACTAATTTAGGGACTGACTGGGTGGGAGTGGGCCATAAATTAACCACCTAATTTTCTGAGATTTCATGAAGTCACTTAAATGTCCCATTCTGCATCATACTTTCACCGTTTTAGAAACTAAATGGAAATTAAAAATAGGTTTGAGAAGGAGTGAAAATCTCAAGATTAGTCCTAATGGGGGCAATTTGGAGTGGAACAGAATTGACAATCCTTGAGGTGATGTTTAACGTTCTCATCGCTATTAATAGGTTGATTGATGGTAATGCCCCTGGAGGTCTTACCACCAACTTTGCCAACGTATCGGCGACGAATGAAGTCCATGAATGGTGTCACGAGAAGGTGAGGAAATCAGTGAATTGAATTAGCAAGTCATGTGGTAATTATGAATAAATTCACAAAAGACCCACAGAGATTCAGTAGCTGAGAGGGAATAATTTGAGTATGTGAACTTATTTCAGCCTCTTGACTTCTGGCAATGCCTCAAGCACCCAGGACAGCACAGTGGGGCCACTTTTGAGAATGCTGCGGTACGAGAAGGCACTGAAAAGGCCCAACATAATGGCATTTGTTGCCATAACACTCGGCGGGATGTCGCTATACAAGAGGCGAGGGATTTTCGTAAAAGTGAGAAAACGAAATAGTATCCTCTAAAGCCAAAATAAGTGGAGGATAAGAGTGATTTTAATGACTTATATTCTCTCCTCTCTTCCTTTCTGTAGCAGCACTTTCCATCGAGAGTCACCAATTTTTCCGGAGAGTGTGTGTGCACGAGATGAATGAGTGCGATTTGGAACATTCATCGTGGCCTTTT